AGAGAGGATGGTCGCCACCGCCACCGCGACCACGACCACGACCGCCTTCGTTGTCGTCGTCCTCCTCCTCACCACCACCACCACCACCAGCCGCAGCAGCAGCAGCAGCAGCAGCATCATCATCATCACCACCATCACCATCACCATCACCATCACCATCATCATCATCATCATCATCGCCATCGCCATCGCCATCGCCATCGCCATCGCCATCGCCACCCATCATCACCATCATCACCATCATCACCATCATCATCAGCATCACCATCACCATCATCATGTTCATCATCGTCATCATCACCATCATCGGAACGATGCTGATAATATCGATAAGACACGAGGAGAAAGTCCAACAACACTAGCAAGAAACGCAAATCGCAATGGTAGTAGCTATGCGCGTAATGCAACTACACGGCCTTAGGCACCAGAATGCCCACATGCCTCCCGACTTTGTATGTGCAGGGTAGCAGCCTACAATCTACAGCCCTTGACCCATTTCGATGATGTCTCCAGGTACCAGCGGAGCGCTGCTGGCAAGGCTGGCTACTGATGCCCCAAGCGTTGTTGGGTGTCGGCTTCCTCAAGGAACCCCCAAGGCTCTAAACCAGACAGCGCCTAAATCCTAAACCCTAAATTGTCCTAAACCCTAAACTCTAGGCCCTGAGCCCAAGACCCTGAGCGACAACGACACCTGGAGCCAAATCCATATGTTCTGTCAAATCCTCAATGCCTCAAGCAATTACGTGCTGATCTCCAGGTCTTTGCTGCGGAAGAGGTTCGCAGCCTTCAGGCACCGTTTGCTTTATGTGGCAGTACTTGCTGTGTAGTAGCGACAGTCACCAATCATCATAATATAGGAGTAGCCGAGCTTGCTTTTCTGTGTGTGGTTCCAGGGCTTCTGGAGTCACCTACAGTATTGATAACGGTCTTTAGGGAAGCTGCTGTGATGGTAGAGGCCAGGCGCTCTGGACCAGTTCAGGTCAACTGGCAAGATCAGGAGACTTGGTAAGTAGCGATTGAAGCCTCGGCCTCAGCATCCCCAAACCTGCAACCCTGATTTCGAAGCCGTAAGTGCGGGAGCATGGTGGCAGTCAAGGCGTGCGTAGATTCAACACTGTTGATTGTGCTGCTGTCCCTGGTTCTACCAACCTTGGCGTTCTATTCCGCCCGATGGAGACGCACAGTCAAAGAGAAGTCGGAAATCTGTCTGTGAAACAAAGCGGCCCTAGAGGCATGCACCCGGACCATGCTCTTCCTCATGACACAGGTCGCGACACCTTGGCATTCTTGAGGAAGCCGAAGTTGATCTGCAGTAGTCGGGGGCGTGCTCCATGTGATTGTAAGCTCCGTTGGCCGAAAACAGAGGATGCTGGCTGACCCCCTTGCTTCTGATGCCCTCGGGCCATGGTGATCAGAGAGAGAGAGAGAGAGAGAGAGAGAGAGAAAGAGAGAGAGAGGCATGATTAAACATAGCAAGGGGAATAACAGTAGTACGAACACTAACAACAAGATGAAGAGTAGGAACAACATGATGACTATGATCGTGATAATGATGCTGCTGATGATTATGATGATGATGATGATGACGTCGATGACGGGTGTCACCGTGAGTACGATGTTCAATCCGCCACTTTGACGGCTGTGATTGCTATTGTTGCTGCTGACACGACTCCTACTCCTCCTACTTCTACTTCTCCTATGATGTACTGCTAGTTGTAGCACTACACCACTAAAGTCAAGTCACCCGTGGTCATCATAACGGTGGATTCTTCAGCAGCACGTTTGGGCTTCCTAAGATGGCCAACTCAACCCGTCCCGACTTTCCCTGCACATTCCCTTGACCTCTTCGAATCCCCAACCCCAGACCTACACTCCGAAGCCAAAGCTGCAGTCAGAGGTAGCGCAACCAGGTGCTTAACGCAGCAAACCATGCAGTGATTTGGCCACCCACGGGCTTCCGGAACGCTAGGTTCTGTCGGCGGACGTTGCTCCTGACACGCCCTTTAGCGTGACTCCGTCGCTGGAACAGGCATTGGTTGGCATAGGCGTATATAGACATTGTCTGCCTTGCCTTGACTGTGAGTGAAGAAAACTGTCGAAAGCCCTCAGCGTCGTTAACGCTACTCGTGCCAGATGCACTGGTATGATGCAAAGATATTCAACATTGATGTTCATTGTGCCGATGATGATGATGATGATGATGGTGGTGGTGGTGGTGCAGGTCATGACGCCGGTGACGATGGGTGTGGCAGCTGTGGCAGAGACGGTGGTGGTGCTGGTGGTAGCGGGGGGTTAGTGGCAGTGGGTGTGTCGTTGTCGTCGTTGTTGCTGCTGCTGATGCCGCTTCCTCTTCTGACTCTCCGTGCAGGTTTATGCTTACCTTCGCGACCGGAGCAGAGCAGTGCGGCAGGACTTGCATCTCCAACAGCCCCTGAGTGGACGCAGCCTGGACCCTTTGCTGCAGGGGCCTGTTGGGATTCAGATTCAAATGGCTTTTCACGTGATTCAGGTTCCATCTGCAGGGAAGCTTGTAAAAGCGTTTTCGGCGCAGGAGTTCGTGGAGTGCCACGAGTACTGTCTCCGCTTCGAGATGCTGGCACTCTTCCTCCTGTCTCACCGTCGCGAGCCTGGCAAAGGTCCGTCCCAGGGAGGCTACAGCAGACACTTGGGATTGCAAGCGATCTCGCAGACCATCGACCCCTTGCTGGCTGCATATCAAGAGGTCCGTTGCCACCTGGGAGATGTGGCAGAGCTTCGTAACGAACCTGCCATTCAGAGATTCGTGGTGCTACTTCTTTTGGCAACTTCCCCGGCCACGCTGCCTGCACATCTTGCGGACCTAGGCATCACGGTGTTGCAGCATCCCTTGCTGGTTTCTGCTATTGCTGCATGTGCAGCTTTTCTTTCCGGTGACTACGTCGGCTTCCTCCGCTTCTACAAAGAAGCAGACTTTCTTTCTGCTGTGGCCCTGGCTGAGCTGGCTGATCTGGCAAGGGTGCGGCAGCTATGGATGCTCACTCGGGCCTACCCACGGTCGACCCTTTGTCATAGTTAGGTAACATTTTACATGTTTATGGGTACTTAAACTCAATAAGGAATAGAATGCTGTCCCAACCATGGGCTAGGATCGGGGATGCGGTGCAACTATCGGCGCTGGTGAAACTACTCGCCTTCAGGGACGAGGCACATGCTCGGACATTCCTTGTCTTCCACGGTTTGGTCGTGGAAGACGGCCTTCATCCTCAGGATGATTGCCGGGTCTTCCTGCCCAAGAAAGGCTCAGTGGAGGAGGTGGGTCATCCTCTGCTCGGCCAGCCGACGCTGCCCGAGTTCTGCAACTTTGACGGTCCAGATGCCTTGCTGCTGGCGAAGTTCGCTTGCCACAGTCGGTCTGACATTGTGCTGGGCCATGCCGACCCAACTGTGCCGCAGCTGGAGAAAGCACAAGCCTGCTTGCCGCGGAAAAACGACTCCTACATAAGCTTACCTGAGGCTCCGAAGCCCGCAGCGTCTGATCATGCCCCTGCACCCCAAAAGCTTAAACCCTAAACCATGAAACCATCATGAATCCTTGTACTAAAGCCCTCAATAACCCTATGGAACTCGCCAAGCTCTGCAGGAGAGATTCGAGCGCATAACGAGCCCCAAGTTCCTGGAGGCCGACCGGAAACCGTGCCTTGGATTATGGGCTCTCGATGCGGTTTGATCGGGGTATAGGGGCCTTCATCGGCCTTGCACCTTCCAGGAAGGGCTTCTGCTCTTCACTACTTCTAGTGTGGGGTTCACTTTTCTTGCAACTCCCCTGACAGTAGCTAGAGAACGAGCTCTAGAGTGATGCTAACGATAGTGTAGCAACAGCAGGAAAAGCGAGTCGTAAAAGCAATAGTCAGAACAGCGATGCTGTGATGCCCAATAACACCAATGATGGCAACAAGACTGCATCACTACAGTTGTAGCAAGAGAGCAACAGGAATCGATGTCGTCTCCGTCGTCGCCACCCTCGTCGTCGTCGTCGTCGTAGTAGCAGTAGCAATTGCAGTAGCGGTAGCAGCAGCGGCAGCGGTGGCGGTGGCGGTAGTGGTAGCCAACCGGAGAAGAAGAAGTAGAAGTAGAAGTAGAAGTAGAAGTAGGAGTAGAAGTAGAAGTAGAAGTAGAAGTAGAAGTAGAAGTAGAAGTAGAAGTAGAAGTAGAAGTAGAAGTAGAAGTAGAAGTAGAAGTAGAAGTAGAAGTAGAAGTAGAAGTAGAAGTAGAAGTAGAAGTA